GTCCCGGGGTCCTGGGATCGAGCCCCGCATCGGGCTCCCTGCTCAGCAGGGAGCCTGCTTCTCCCTCTCCCCCTGCTTGTGTTCCCTCTCTCGCTGTGCCTCTGTCAAATAAATAAAAATCTTAAAAAATAATAAAAATAAAAAGATTTGAGAGACAGACACAGAGAGAGAGGAAACACAAGCAAGAGTGGGAGAGGTAGAAGCAGGCTTCCCGCCTGAGCAGGGAGCCCGATGTGGGGCTCGATCCCAGGACCCCGGGATCATGACCTGAGCCGAAGGCAGACGCTTAACAACTGAGCCACCCAAGTGCCCCGTGAATCACACCTTTTCTTGCAGGTCTCTGCTAGCCAGGCCACTTGGGGACCTCTTCCGATCTCACTAGGAATGGCTCTTCTGGGGCTCAGGCCTTCCTCAGCCCCCACCCGTCATCGGGAGCAGCTCTCCAGGGCGGGCCTCATCAGGGCAGTACCCATATCAGCGGGTAACTTCCCGGAAATTCTGACCTACTAAATCTCAGTGGCACTATGGCACTTTGAGGTTGGTCTGAGATCCTCAGATTGGTGGCTCTCGATCCAAAGTAGCCAGTGCCCACGGAGCGGGGCCTGTGGGTGTTCCCAATGGGGGGCAGGGGGAGCAGAGTGGCCCAGGTTCTACTCTGCACCTGTGAATGTCAGGAGTACTCCTTTTTTGGGAAACAGTTCAGATCACACCTTGCCCAACCAGGGCGTCCAAATGATGAAAGGATGCTCGGCTGAGGATGGAAGTAGTCTAAGTCTCACAAACGCATTATTTCATATATTCTCCCACAGCCTCTCACCCATCACCCAATGTCTCATCATATGAACGTTCTTCCTTCCCAGTCTAATAATACATGCCACAGGAAGACAGGGATTTTTTTTTTTTTGGTATTTTTAATGACTGAAACCAAACAAATCTAAAACCGCAGCTTCTGGAAGAACCACTTGTTCTTGCCGGTCTTGTACCTAAAGGCAAAAAAGGACACCATTGAGAAGAATAGTGAAACCAAATTCCCTTCATGGAGAATAGGGCCACCACCAAAGTCTACTTACCTCTCCTCGAACTTGACCTTGGCCTCTCGTCGGGCCTTTCGTTTAAGAGCAGGGTCTCTGAAGACATCCTTGTTCACAACAGTCTTGTCCAAGGGGATATCCACAGAGTACCTGGGAACAACGGTGGGGACGTAAGATCAGCCCACACGCTGCCAGGGCCCTTCACATAGCCCAAGGACTCCTGGGTGTGACACTGGGGTGTCAGGGTCTGTCTCCATAGGAGCAATCCACAGAAGCTGTGCCAAAGTCCCCGTAATATTCTTTGGACATTCCCAATTTAAAAGGACTCCTTTATGTGGACCCAAACCATGGAAATACTTCACATTTCATTCTCGACTTTCCACAGTGACTATTTTTCTAGCTAAGGACTGTTACTTTATTACATCTCCTTCACTATCATCATGGCGGTTGGCTAGCTTTCTATTTGGAGCCATTTTATTTAGTGTTGTTCAAGTGGTGCCTGGGCGGGGGCAGCCTCATTGTGAACAGTGCAGAAGCTGGGCAGCTGCTGAGGTCTCACTGCTTCCCGGCACCCGAGAAACAGCTCTGCTCTTTTAAGACACCTTTGGGAGTCAACATGCAGCGCCCAGCGGCAAACTGTAAGGCACACGCTGCTGGGTTTTGCCAGTCATCGTTCAGGACTCTCAACCATTGTATTTCTGTACAATCTATGCACCAAGATAGTGTGCATGGCGCACAACACTGTGGAAGGCCAGGAACTAAAGGGCATGGCAGCCCAGGGGAATTCGTTGGTGGGGGGGTAGGCTTGCTGCCTTTATCTACCATTTTGGAAAGCCTTCAGCAACTATCCTGGAAAGTGGAAGAGTGGCAGAGAGCAGGCCAGATCCCGTGCCCGTGTTTACTGTGAATGCAAACAAATGAAACGATCTTTACCCAACACTTGGAGAATTTTCAGGTGAGGAGACAGACAAAGAGCAAGCTTGGAAGAGATTTTCCATCCTGCTTGGCCAACTCAGGGAAGTCACCACAGAAAATGGTAGAACACAGCTCCATGTTGGACCAAAGAGGCAACACAGGAAACCACCACCACCTTGTAAGTGACACACTAGAATAGCTGCAAGGTTGCCTTATTCAGCAGGGCAGAAAGGGGTGAAAAGAAAATCCCTTTCATTCCCATTCCTTTTTTAAAAAAAATTCGAGAGAGCGAGAGAGAGCGCACGCATGCACGTGAGCACAAAGAGGGAGAGTGAGAGGTAAAAGGAGACTCCCTGCTGAGCAAGGAACCAGATGTGGGACTTGATCCCAGGACCCTGAGATCATGACCTGAGCTGAAGGCAGACACTTAACCGACTGAGCCACCCAGGAATCCTCACTGCCATTCTTAAAATGCTCACCTTGTGGGCATGAGGTGATTGTAATTATAAACTTTCACAAAAGACTTGATCTTTGACCTCTTGGCGATTTTCTTCTTGCCCATGGCAGCTGTCACTTTGCGGGGATAGCGGTCAATTCCAGCCACCAGAGCATGGCTGTAGGGACGGTCTGAGGTGCCATCATCAATGTTCTGAACGAGCAAGAATCACATGTCATTGACTGAGGGCCTACTTAGGCCCTGTGCTAGAGAGATGTAGAGCATGTATAAAAGGAACACCCCCACTGCCAGGTCTGAGACCCACTATGGGAAAAACCAGGCAAGGCGGACCCGCTTGAGTGCTATGCTAGATCGCACAAAGAGTAATAGGGAAGGGTTGTATTCATTCCCACAAGAATCTGGAAAGGTTCCTGGGAGGGAAGAGATCTAAAACGAATGATATCAACATCGATGGAGTGCTTGCTTTGTATCAAGCACTGGTGCTCAGCACTCTACGCCTCTTAACTTCCCCTACGACTGCACTGCTAGTGAGGAATAGAGGCAGGACTCCAAAACTGGTGGTCTAGCTCCAGAAACCAGTCTCAGATTGAGGGGGGTCAGGGCAACAAAGGGTGTCCCGCGGCCCCACCACAGCCAGAAGCAGGTGTGTGGCCAGAGCTTAGGGAGCTCTCACCAGAGGCTACAAAACCTAGGTGAAGGGCTAGAACGTGCTAAGTGAGCATTTGGACGGGAAACGATTTCTCCTCTTTTTACAGACTCCAGGCCGCGGCACTTAACCGTTTTTACCTCAGTGCAATTACTTAACGTCCATACACGTTAGCACTAGAAAGGAATCCCCTACGGTGACTTCAAGAACCGGACGTGACAACACACCTGCACGGCGGTGCCAGACACCAAGCGAGCGCGCGATAAACGCCGGCCCCTATTATTTTTTAAAACCTCCTCGGTAGAGGACGCGTTATGTGTCAGGCGCCCAATTCCACTCACATCTGTTTTTACTTTGCGCGCACTGACCCCACCCGCAATGCTCGGCGAATGCCCCCCAAGCTAGCTCTTGAACTCCGAGCCTGCAGGCCCTCCGAAACCGCCCAGTTCCCGAGATGCAAGGGCGCAGCAGAGGCTCGCGAGGCTGGTACCTTCACGATGACCGCTTTGCGTCCGGAGTAGCGTCCGGCCAGGACCAGCACCACCTTCCCGGGTTTCATGAACTTGCCCATCTCTGCAGAGGACGGAGAAGGGGCCGATCAGAAACGCGCAAGCCGAGGCCGTGGGCCCGGAAACCGAGGATGCGCTCCCGGCCGTCTCGGCCCAGGCCGTCCGCGGGCCCTGCTCGCAGGACAGGAGCGCTACGAAGCCGCCGGAGACCGAGCAGTGGAAAGCGCCCGGCGCTGCCCCGCAACTAGACCCCCGGGCCGCGGATGGCGGCGGATTGGAACACCCTACCCAAGTCGCTACTCACCGACACCAGCTACTGGAGCCTACAGCAGAAAGGAAGAAAGGACACTTCCGCTAACCTTTCACCCCGGGGAGTGTTGATCTCACTTCCGGTCCCGCCCCTCAAGCTTGCCCCGCCTCTCGAAATCCGTTGTGGGCGGAAGAAGCTCTGGCGGGGAGAGCAGGCCCTGGGCGCTCATTTATTCAAATCAAACTTTATTAGTAGCTTCAGCTGTGGGCAAGAGCAAAGGAGTCCCCTTCTCCCGCATAGGTTGGAAGGGCGAGGAAGGCTGCAAAGCGCGCAGATTTTTGACTCCGCTGCTCTGCCCCATCCTTGGTTGTAGTTCCTTTCTCGGGCGCTAGGAGGGGACACAGTTCGAAATTGACGTTTATGCCTTGCAAGAGTCAGCAAAATAGGACTTCTCTTAGTGTGCACTGTTAGGCGTAAGGAGGGAGAGACGAAGATCAATCGGTCAAGGGTGCTTACCCCCAATATTTAGAGTCTAGTGATGTCACACCCATTACCGGCTAGAATAAGCAGTGACGATGGTGATAATCACTGAGCACCTACTTTGTGCTAGGCTTTTTAGGTAAGTCGACAGCCTATTTAATTCTCACAACTCTGCATCTTGGGTATCTTCTTCCCATTTAGACATGAGGAAATTGAGATTCAAAGAGGATAAGTTACCTATCCGAGGTTGACCTTGATCAGTAGCATAGATGAGATTCAAATCTAGGTTTGAACCTAGGTCTAGTTGGTTCTCAAACTGAGTTATTTCCCATCACTTACTGGAAGAGTGTTTTTATTATTATTAAGTAGGCTCCATGCCCAAGGTGGGACTTGAACAGAGGACCTTGAGATCAAGAGTCACATGCTCTACCTACTGAACCAGCCAGGCATACCTGGAAGAGTGTTTTTATTTTTATTTATTT